CTCTCTCTCTCTCTCTCTCTCTCTCTCTCTCTCTCTCTCTCTCTCTCTCTCTCTCTCTCTCTCACACACACACACACACACACACACACAAAATAAAACAAAAAGAAAAATGAAAGCTCGATTTCGCGCCTCGTATCCTAACCACGTGCACGATTTCACGCCTAAAACCTCCAACTCCCTTTCGACGACTTACGCCTAGCTTCCCACCCACACCCCGACTTTCCCCCTAACTTTTCCTCTTCTCCCTCCTTTCCCTCCTCTGTTCTTTCCCCTCTTATCGTACTTCCCCTTTGTCCTCCTCCAACTCCATCTCTTTCTGCCTCCCTACCCTCCCTCCCTCTTAGGCTTTCGCATTAATTTTTCGCCTCCTCCTCGTGTTCCTCTTCCTCTTCCTCGTCCTCCCCTTCATGTTGCTTTGTGTCCCTTTCACGATCAGAGTGTATAGGAAAGAAAAACAAAACCACCATAGCCTGTTTCGGCCCCCTTTCCCCACGCCATTATCATCTCACCTTGTCCTTGCAAATAGTGCTCCTTTCTCCTTATCTTTCATCTTCATCGGCATCTTCAACCTCGTTTTCATCAGTCGACGTCATCATGGTAGGGTGCTCTCTCTGTCTCTCTCTCTCTCTCTCACCCACCCACCCACACGGTTCTTGTGAACCCCACGAAAAAAGCATGACTGTGCCAGACCGTTTCGTTGGACTTTCACCAACTCATCACGAGGTTGAACCCTGACACTCTGCCCATGATGCATTTGCATGCATGCATGTGTTCGTGCTTGTGCGTGTGTGCATGCATGTGCGTGTGTGCGTGCATGTGCTTGTTCGACTGTACGGGCGCGTATTCGTGTGAGTGTGTGTTGTGTGTCGCCAAAGATATGCAGGGGGGTGAACCGCTGAGCCCAAGAGAAGACCCGGACATCCAGGCCGTTCGCGGCGATCCAGGTCGGGTTGCAGAAACCACTTGAGCTCTTCCGTCATTCGGCAGGACCCACACATCCAGGCCGCCTAAGATATGCGGCAAGGGCAATAAGATTGTGGGGCAATCCAGGCCGTCGGGCCGGTAGGACCGCGAACGGCCCGGATCGCCGCACGATCTTAAAATCTTACGATCGCGGGGCAATCCGAGCCGTCGGGCCGATAGGTCCACGGACGGCCCAGATCCCAAGCTTCTCACATTACGAATTTTTATAAGTGTAGGAACCAACACGAATGACCACGCGTTCTATTCGGTTTGAAGACGTTAGTTCTGCTCCTGTTCGTTTAAACACGCAGGCGTATTTACGTAGTTCACTCCAAAGATCATCCACACTCATGAGTCACAGCAAGGAGCAAGGCACGGACGTTGTGGCTTTCTCTACGGGAATAAAATCAGGGAAGGCCAACTAGCTTGCTTTTCACAATCAAACGTGCCTGACAAAATGCACGCAGACGCCCAACTGAAAACGCCGGGCGGGAAAACGATCGGTGGCGGGGGAGGGCCGGTAGCGCTAATCCAAGCGCTAATTCGGCGCTATTTCAGCGATAATTCAGAACGGTAACTTTTGCGCTGTAGGTTTCTCGCCTTTGCACGGTGAATTAGGGTTTCACCTCCCACGTGGCTCCTTAGCAACGCGCACAGCAAGTGGCCAGGGAGGTCTTCTCCCTCCAGCGCCCGGTGTAGGCAGAACCATGACAAATTACATCACGTTGGAAGTCCATGCCTCAGGGCAGGCGGCCGGATAGTAGGCCAATGCAGCAGAGGAGATAAGC